CTCTTTATGTTTTTCTTCTTCCCTCTTCTTTTCAAAAGAGCTCACACTCTTCAACCCATGTTTCTCTCTCTCCAAAAACACCATTTTAGGAGCCTCCACTAAAAAGCTTATTTTTAGTGATGAAAATACCCTTTAACAAGAGGGAGAATACTATATGAGTGTGATCTTTGCATTACGTTCCAATATTGTCCACCTTGATGCAAAATCACATACTTGCCTTGCCAAACCGTCACTTCTTTCCTTTTTTGAAACCTAGAGAAGTTACCCGTCATTCTAACTTTGCTATTTGGATGACTTTCGTAAGTGTATCTGCAAAGTTATCTTCAGTCTTGACTTGACCAATCAAATTCTTCCATCTTCAACAACTTGCTGGATATAGTGATATTGAATCAATATGTGTCGCGACATCTTGTGGTAAACTTGATTTTTGGCCAAGTAAATAGAACTCATATTGTCACAAAATAGTTATATGAGCTTGCACATAATGTCCATCTCACCCGTCAATCCTTGAAGCCACACAGCTTCTTTTGATGCATCTATTGCCACCATATATTGGGATTCGATAGTTGATAATGGTACCATGTCTTAGAGCCATGACATCCAACTTACCAATCCATTTGTAAACCCAAAAACAAATGCAGTAGTCGACCTACCTTTATCAAGATAACCGACAAAATTTGCATCCACAAAACCTAGCATTTGAATTGAGCCCTTGCCAAATGTATTGCATAACTAATTGTGCCTCTTAAGTATCGAAGCACCCATTTTGTTGCTTCCCAATTAACCTTTTCGGGACTTGTCATAAACAGACTTAGAACACTGACTGCATGCGCAATATCCGGTTTAGTACATACCATGGCAAATATTAAGCTTCCAATAGCATCTGCGTAGGGCACCTTAGCCATGCATCTTCTTTCGTCTTCTATCTTCGAATGTTGTCTTGAAGACAATTTGAAGTGAGGCACTAGCGGGTGTCTTCATCGGCTTTGTATCTTTCATGTCAAATTCTTCAAACACTTTTTCTATGTAACCCTTTTGAAATTATGACAAAATTCTATTTTGTCTATCCCATTTAATTTCAATCCAAAGGATTTTCCTTGCCGACCCGAGATCCTTCATCTCAAATCTTGTGCTCAAAGAAGTCTTGAGCTCATCAATTTTAGCCTTATCTTTGTACACCAAAAGCATGTTATCCACATATAAGACTAAAATCAAGTATGTACCATCATCAAAAAATATTAAATAGATGCAATGGTCATACTTACTTCTTGTATACCCAAGGCTCATCATGAACATATCAAATGTTCTATACCATTATCTTAATGCTTGGACTTTTTCAATTCGCATACATGTTATTATTTGCCATTCTCTATGAAGCCTTCTGGTTGTTGCATGTACACTTTCTCTTTGAGTTCTCCATGCAAAAATGTTGTCTTCACATTCATTTGCTAAAGTTCTAAATCATGCATAGAAACTAACCCAAGCACCAAGTGAAATGAGACCAACTTGAGTATCGGTGTAAAATTTTCATCAAAGCTAATGGCTTGGTTTTGTGAGAAACATTTTGCCACCAATCTTGCCTTACATTTTTCAAGCTTGCCATCGGGTGCCCTTCTTTATCTTGAACACTCATTTAAAGCCAATGGCCTTTCTACATTTTGGTAGATCTACCAAATCCCAAGTCTTGTTTCTTTGAAGGCGAACATCTCTTCATCCATAACTCTTTTCCAATGCTCTATACCATTATGATCAATGGCTTCACGAAATGATGTTGATTGTTCATTTTTTACTATCAAAGCATTCAAAGTATTTAGATCCACATAATCTTTGTGTCACCTAGGAGCATGAGTTTCCCTAGAAAAGCGACGATATGCCAAAGGCATAACGTCATCATGATGGCCATATGGTTCTTTATCTTGACTTCCTAGTTCTTCATATTATTCACCATGAACAATGAGTATATTCTCACAAGGTATAGTTATACTTGGTGGAAGTATTTTGGGGTTGCCTTAAAATTTTTGGTTCTCTTGTTGCACTTCTTAATTATTATCCTTCAATATCATTCATTTTGCCAATACCTTAGATTCATCAAAATGCACCTTCCATCTAAGGATTATTTTTTGGGTACTTGGATCTCATAATTGGTATCCCTTCACACCATTGATATAACGCACAAAGATGCACTTCTTTGACCTTGGATCCAACTTGTTCCTTTGGAAACTTAAAATAAGTACAAAGGCATCACAACCAAAAAATTTTAAATTAGAGTAGCCATTAAGAGTTCCATACCATACCTCATTAGGAGTTTTGCTTCCCAATGCTACCGAAGGTGATCGGTTGATAAGATAATAAGCTATTGATATGGCTTTCACCCATAATTCTTGTTCTAGGCCAGTGTTACTTAATACTCGCATGCTCCATCACAGTGACATTTATCCTCTCAACCACACCATTTTGTTGAGGATTGTAGGCATTTGTATAATGCCTAGTAATTCTCTTAGCCTTGCAAAAACTTTCAAACTCCTTTAATACAAACTCTCCATCATTATCCGTCCGAAGAACTTTGATGTGTTCTCCCCCGTATATTTTTCAACGTCGGCTTTAAAATTATTGAATGCATAAAACATATAACTTTTGGACTTGAGAGTTTTGATCCATACTACTTTTGAGAAGCCATCAACAAATGAAACAAAATATAATGCACCTCCATAAGATGTAGTCGGTGAAGGGCCCTATACATCCAAGTGAATATAATGAAGTTTGTATTTGCTTGTATGGTTCCCGGACTTGAAAGGTTGTTTATGATGTTTCCCATAGACACAATGCTCACAAAATGCAAATCCATCAATTTTAAGTGTAGGAATGATACTCATCTTTATCAAGGCTTCCATACCATTATCACGCATATGTCTTCTATACCATAGACGAAATGTAATTTCCTCACATTCGACTACCAAGTTCAATTCATCATTTATTATTGTGTTTCTGAAAACTTGTACAAGCTCACAACTAGGACTCATTTCATCACAATTAGAGCCCATTTGGATACTTTGATTACTCCACCTTGACCGGTGAACTTGTAACCTTTCGAATCTAGAGAAGAGAGGGAAATCAAACTCTATTTAGTTTCGGTATATGTATTTTATCTTTAAATGTCCTAATAATCCCATCAAACATTCTTAGGCGAACCGAACCCATTTCAACCACCTTGTATAATTGTTACCCATGGATACCGATCCTCCTTCACATGTTCATATGAGTCAAACCATGATCTATGTGGGAATATGTGATGGGTAGCTCCACTATCAAATATCCAATTTTAATAGAATATTGAATTATATGTCATTATCAATACTTTATCTTCAATGAATCTGAATGTAGACTCTTCAACTTGATTTACTTTACTCTTTGATTCACTTAGCCTTTCACCTCCCGCATTAGGAGCTTTGGAAGACTCCTTACTTCGACTAATTGTCGCCTTGAAGAAATATCAAGAGAAAACGACCCAACACGAGCCCAAATAATGGTGCTAGGGTTTTATTGCAAAACTCTCAATTTTGGCCCCCAATCCTCTCTATGTTTGTCTTCATTCCTCTTCTTTACAAAAGAGCTCCCACTCTTCAACCCACGTTTCTCTCTCCAAAAAAACAAGTTAAGGTACTTATAACGCTTGGGGAGGTGATATTATGAAGTTATTTAGCAAATTTTCCTTGCAAAATGATAATTTGCGAGATCTAATAGTCAAAACGTGCACAAAACATACGGTATCATGATAATATATAATTTAGATATATAAAAAACGGGGCAATACCTTTATTTAGATTTTTAAAAAGTTGAATATTTAGATATTGTTTTGTCAAACATACCCTTAGATGGAGGCATTCCAATGGATATCTAAACCAATATGTCATTCGATGGTAGCTACAACCAAAAGAAACACTTTATTATATATAACTACATTTTTTGCCCTTTTTTTTTTAAACTGGGCCTCACTCAATTGAGTTACTTGGACTCGGCGAGTCACTCGGCTCGCCAAGGGGCAAGTACCTTGGCTAAATCAATTTTTTGAACCATATTTGATATATATGAGTTGCAAGCCTCCAATATTAAATACAAATACTAACATAGTTCTTCATTTTTTAAATGTCAAAAATTTCTAGGCTCCACATGAGCACTTCCTGCTTTCCCTCTCTGCTGTAAAACCCTACCAGGGAGCACTTTTAGGCCCTCAAATTTGGGGATATAATTTCTTCGGCCTATAGATCAACAGTTTAAAAAAAAAATTATAAAAAAAATCAAATGCACTATACATAGCTGAAAATCAAAATTATTGTTTAGAAAGATTCTTCAGTGGACCCCAAAATATTCAGATCAAGAAATTCCTGCCTAAGTAGCTATTCCAGCCAAAGGAGTAGCTGTCCAGATAATATGATCTGGAGGAAGCATTCTATACCCACTGAAATTTTGGATTTGAAAAGTCTATCACACTCTGCTAGTGTATTGTATAATGGGCAATTCATAATCTGTATGAGACAAGTGGTTGAGAAACGATTTTAAAATCTGTTATAACAGGTGATGATTGTCTGCGGGGGACTCGTCGGAATCAAAATATGGGAAAATGTTGGTAACCACTAAATTATACATAAATATTTTTTAAATCACTGAAATAACATGTTTATTTCAGAACTACATATATGATAGGCACTATCACAAACACATCATCTGTAAAAATATAAGCTTAAGTGAAATAACATTCATCTCAATCTTAGGTTGAGGCTACACACAACGTATGCATTACAGTTGCAAGAATCATGTCTTTCTTTCCCCAAAAAAAATCTAGAAGTGCCTAAAAAGATAGAGAGAACTCAAATGTAATGGATGGACAATAATCTAGTGTATTTGATTTCCTTGAGTGAAACTAAGTATAAAGTTTCAGATCATTATGTCGAAATCATGAAGCACTATCAATCTATAATTATTTCATCATGGCTCTTTTGAAACTAAGTCGAGCTGATAAAAGATCTTGGGCTTCGGGGACGCCGTATGTCCACCGTACCTTCAAGCATCAAAACCACCTTCTTTATTGAAGGCCTCAATGCAGGCTCTTCTTGCACACACCATAACCCCAGCATCACCATTCTCTCCAACCTCTTATTCTCAACACCCGTAGTCTCAGCCACTCTTTCCAATTTCTCCAATTCCTCAGCTTCAAAGCAGTTATAAACCCATTCAATCAATAAATTTCATCCTCGGGAGCTCCTAACTCCAGAGTTTTTCGACAACATATGATCTCCATTAACATGATCCCAAAACTATACACATCTGCCTTGACGGTTAGCGACTGGTTATTGAACCATTCAGGAGCCACATATCCCCTAGTGCCCCGAATCCCAGTAAAAGTCCTTGTTTTTTCGGGCTTCAAAAGGTTTGCAAGACCAAAATATGATATCTTGGCAGTTAGGAAGTCATCAAGAAGTATGTTGTGGGGCTTTATGGCGCAGTGTATGATTTGGGTCAAACACTCTTCATGCAAATATGATAGCCCTCGAGCTATATCTAGAGCAATACATATTGGGTTTATGTGGCTTGAATGTGTAATGAAAAATATTTATTATAGTGGAATATAAACTCAGTCGGAGTGTGGTCTCTCAAAGACCATACTAAGCAAATGATATTTGTGGATACCAGACTGTGCTTGACGATCTAGGCCAGTCAATTGAAAAACCCAAAGTATATGGGCATAAAAAATAAACCGAGAAGGGTTTTTGGGTTAGCCCTTGATGAGGTCGGAGCTTATGCCTAGATGAATGAGCCGAGGGACTGTGTGACCCTTGTGTGTGATGGTAGGCCAACAGAGACAGGCGTCAAAACCTCATCCATGTTCCATCACACGGCATGCATATAGATAGATCGTTCGGAAAAGCTAGATATCCACCTTTCGGTGAAGCATATGCATGTGCGAGAGATACCCCTATGCGCCATAGAGATGTGGTCGCATCAGGTCGTGGTGACCTTGACTTATCTCTAGGGGAGGACCTATAATCCACAGACTGGGATTGCGACTCCTTGGCTCATCGACTATGATGACCCGCTAATGAGCCCCTGTTTGGACTGTGGGTCATGAAAAATACTGGATCGGTTCGATAAACCAAGTGTGGTCTGTAGTCCACAGTTGAAGGTAGAGTACCCCATGATCGTATATTGAATTCCTGAACCATATGGATCCATTTTCCATTATATTAATTTAATTGTGTTCATTTTATTATTAAATTATTTTAGATTTATTATTTGAATTTTTATAAGTCATTTGACATTTTATTTCTTATTTTTAGACTTATAAAAATAAAGTTATTAATTTACAAAGTTATAATGTTTAAATTTAAAATATTTATTAAAAAAATACATGGGCCCACCATGTGGGTATTAGGTGGGGCCCCACATACCATACATGGGTGGCACGCCACCCTTGGATACCTTCTCTTGTTGCTTTGTCTTCAAGTTTTTCAAATATGGTAACTATATCTTGTAGCATATGGTCAATATTTGATTAGGAAATATTGACCATATCTTATCTTGAAGGAATATCTTGACTTGAGATCATTGAAATATTCTTATGGAAAATATGAGATGGAATATGCAATTTATGGTATGCACTGTCTTTAATGGAATTAATTTATTTAAATATATTGATGGGAAAATGGTTTAAAGAAAAGGGGACAATGGTTCATGTACATTCCATAATGTTGATGGCCCATCTATGGAATGGATGGCTCAGATCTCTCACCCCATAAGTCACATTGATCAATGTTCTATATTCAATGTCAAGAAAGAGACAAACTATGGAAAACCTTAAAGAAACCCTAGACTTAAATTTTACTATAATAGAGGTGCTCTCCCCCCATCTCTACATACCTCTCTCTCTCCCATAAACTCTCTCTCACTCTTCCCTAGGAGCCACGCCCCTCTCTCTCTACTTTGATTTTCTCTCTCTACTCTCTCTCTTAAAAAGACCCTAGGGGGCATGCCCCAACATAGAGACTCTCTCTCCCTCTCTCATGATCTAATCTAAGGGTTGAGAAAATTAGGTTTTGAGCCTAATTATTTTGGAGTTAGGGTTTTGTAGAGATTTAAGGGTAGTTACCAAGTTTGATCGAAATTAGCTTTCCCAATTCGAGACTGAAGCTAGACCACTGATCCCCCGTCATTGGAATTGGTGACTCGGTGTGGGGTGTAAAAAGCCCGGTTGAGGTAATCTCCAGCATCTTTTCTTTTAATTGTTTGTTTTGTTATTTTATATTCTCAAGTACAATATTAAGTTGTATAAATGGCATCAAGTAGTTGAGATTTATTTTATTTATGTGTCATTTATTTTTGGAATTTCTATTGTTTGTAATAAGACCATCTGTGAGTGATCTTGTTGCCAAAATTATGAGGGGCGATAATTATTATAAAAAAAAAAGAAATTGTATTTCTCGACAAAAGATTACATAGGTCTTTCTTTCATTGGTATCAAAGTTAGTTTTACTTGATTGCCATTAGGAGTCTTTTCCTTTTTTTCTTTTTTTTTTTTGGTTGAAAATATAAATGTAATGGCTACTCATACCTTCATCTCTGAGATCCTGAAAACTGAAATGTTTGATGGGACCAACTTTGCGTCATGGAAAAAAAAAATCAAATTTGTGCTCTATGAAAAAAACTTGCATGAGGTACTCTTTGAGGACCGACCTCATCGTCCAACTGACGACTCATATCAAATAATCATATATGAGTACGCCAACTGGAAGAGGAGGAACTTGAGATGCAAGCACATTCTTTTATGTGCCATGACTGACTTATATACTTTTGAATACGAGTCAATCTATACTGTAAATAAGATTTTTGATTAACTTGAAAGAGAGTATGTTGAACCCTCTCTCATGAAGCAAACGATGACTATGAGAAGGTACAATGATTTAAAAATGGTAGAAGGTACCAAGTTTGCAGATCATGTGCACGTATTTCGTGCGCTAGTCAGAGATTTTGAAGATAGAGGCATGAAGCCAATGAATCTATGAAAGTGATTCATTTAATGAATTCTCTTCTTAATTCGTGAGAGACTTTCATATCTCCCATCTCTGCGAGAAGAAAGGCGTCAAAATTGGAGGAACTCATCACGACCATCAAATCTTAAAAAGAAAGGAGGAGTTCAAGACAAACCCTAAGGGATGTTGTGCATATGGTAAAATCTCAATCATCTTTTAAATTTAAGAAAGGAAAAGGAAGAAATACTTTTGAGAAGAAAAGATATTTCAAAAGAAGAGATTTTGGAAATAAGGGAGCAAAGAAAGATACTCAAACTTATTTCATTTGCAAGAAGGTGGGCCACATAGCCAATAGTTGTCGGTTCAACAAATTTGGTGGAACTAACAAGGAATTGGCGTATGTAATTTTCGAGTCCATGCTAGCTGACCCCAAACAAGCTTCTTGGTTTCTTGACTCGAGGGCTATAGCCCATATCACAAACACCAAAGAAGGTTACCGTTCTTTCACTCCCATAGGGCCAGGACAACAGCATATTTATATGAGAAGAAATCAGAAGACTGATGTACTTGAAGTTGGAGATTTTAAGCTGAAACTAAAGAGTGGGAGCACATTGATCCTAAAACAAGCAATTTATGCTCCTGATATGAGGAAGTGCTTGGTTTCAATTCCTAAGATGTCTATGGTTGGATTCATAACCACTTTCATTGGGGAAAAAGTGGTGGTCAAGAAAGGGAAAGATGTAATCATGACTAGACGACTTGTAGACGGGTTATTTACCATTGAAATAAAAGAGAACGTTGCTTATGTCTCGTCCCCTAATGAATTAGATGCTACCCTATGGCATATGAGGTTAGGACACATTAATATCAAACGAATGGAAAGATTAAAAAGGGATGAGATTCTTCATAGTTATAAAAGAGATTTATCGAAAGTGTACGAGTCTTGTGTGCAAGGAAAACTAATAAGGCAAAATACCACCAAGGCAAAAAGAGCTACTAGTATATTGGAAATCATTCATAGTGACATATGTGGACTTATGAATGTGACCACCAAAAGCGGGAAAAGATATTTTATCTCTTTTATAGATGATAACTCGCGATATAGCCATGTGTACCTTATTCATGCAAAATCAGAAGCCCTAGAAAAATTCAAAAAATATAAGGCCCAAGTAGAGAATCAAACCAACCAAAAAATTAAAGTCCTTAAAATTGATAGAGGGGGGGAATATTCATCTGACTTTTTCAAATAATTGTGCATTGAAAATGGGATAATCCATCAGTACACCATGCCTTATACTCCTGAACAAAATGGTGTAGTTGAGAGAAAGAATAGGACCTTAGTGGAAATGGTAAGGAGTATGATGGGGCATGCAAATCTCTCATTAGAGTTTTGGGAAGAAGCCGTATTAACGGCATGTTATATCCTTAACCGGACTCCCACAAAAGCTGCCCCACTTACTCCTCACAAAATTTTTACAGGTCGTATTCCCTCCCTTAGACACCTGAAAGTTTGGGGTTGCTCAGCCCATGTCCTTATCCCACATCAAAATAGAACCAAATTGCAACCCAAAACTGTCAAATTCATTTTCATTGGTTACCCAGATCATGATAAGGAGTATCAATTCTACAACCTTGAAACTGGTACGGTTATTGAAAGCCGCGATACTCACTTCTTTGAGGAAGAGTTCCTTGAAGCAAAGATGAGTAGAAAACAAGCTAACTTTTATGAGGAGGCCAAAAACAAGGATGTAGTTCAAGACCCTAAACTTAAAACTTCTAAACCAACCCAACCTGTTTCTGAACTCCCTAAAGAAAGTGAACATTTACCTGAACCAAGACGAAGTAACCGAGTTAGTAGACCACCTCTTTACCTAGAACATTTTGTCTACCTTGGACAACATTTTGATAAAGTTGGGGAAGATCCAGATTCAGAACCTAGAACTCACCGTGAAGCCTTGGCCTGTCCTGAAAGGGAATACTTGGTAGAAGCTATGATAGATGAGTATGCTTCCATTAACCAAAACCATGTATGGGAATTAGTACCCCTACTTGAAAAATGTAAGGTCATTGATTGTAAGTGGACTTTCAATAAAAAATTGAACTCTGAAGGAAAAATAGAAAAATACAAAGCTAGGTTGGTTGCAAAGGGCTTCACTCAGAAAGAAGGGATAGATTATGAGGAAACATTTTCCGTTGTTGCCAAATTTCCATCCATCTGAATCCTTATAGCTATAACAACACATTTTGACTTTGAGGTTCATCAAATGGATGTCAAAACAACTATTCTAAATGGGGATTTAGAAAAAAAAATTATATGACCCAACCTGAGGGATTTGAGAAGAAATGGAAAGAGAACCTTGTATGCAAACTTAATAAATCCTTTTATGGCTTGAAACAAGCATCGCAACAGTGGTACATAAAATTCCAAGAGACCCTTGCACTTGCAGGGTTCTTTACAAATAATGATGATTATTGCATATATCAAAAGTTCAGTGGGAGTGATGTGGTCTTTATATCGTTATATGTGAATGATATGCTAATTGTTAGTAGCTCAATTGCCCTAGTAGTAGAGACGAAAAATTTCCTTGCACAACACTTCGATATAAGGGATATTAGGAAGCTTCATATGTGTTGGGCATCAAGATAATAAGAAACAGGAGAGAGAAGACTATCCAACTTTCTAAGGCAACCTACTGTAAGAGAATACTGAAAAAGTTTGATATGAGTATGTGTAAGCCCATGTCAACCCCAATTGACAAAAAGACGAAGCTTAGTAATAAAATATGTCCTACCGAAGACATAGATATAAGAACCATAGAGAGAGTGTCATACAGGAGCGCAGTTGGGTTCTTTATGTACGCCTTGACGAGAACAAGGCCTAACTTGTCATTCGTCATGAGTCTGGTAAGCCGTTTCCAAAGCAATCCAGGAGAGGAGCATTGGAAAGCAGTAAAAAGAATTCTCAGATATTTAAAAGGGACTATGGACTATGCGCTCATATATAAGGGGGGAACTGAAATAGCAATAGAGGGATATTCAAATGCAAGCTATCTCGCTGATCCAGATGATACGAAGTCTACATCTGGGTATGTGTTTATGCTTGGAAGGGGTGCGGTTTCTTGAAAGTCAAAGAAGGTTTCTTGAAAGTCAAAGAAACAAGATATTGTGGCTTTGTCCACCATGGAATCCGAGTATATGGCATGCTGTCTAGCAGCTAAGGAGGCTTAAGAAACTTAATTTCTAACATGTATATTGTGAGGTGGTCGAATTTTCTGCAACAATACAGCGGCTATTTGTGTCTCTAAAGAGCCTCGATTTCACAAGAATTCCAAGCATATCAAGCGACAGTTCTATCACCAGATAAATGAGGTGAGATTGAAAGACCTCGAGATTAGCTGCATATCTACATATTTGATGATTGTAGACCCTCTGACTAAGGGAGTTGTCCCTAATATTTTTGAAAGACGTGTGAGAGAGATGGGGATGAGAGAAAGTGAGAAAGAGAGAATGTAAGGCCTTCAAAGGCTAAGTGGGAGATGTTGGGTTTATGTGGCCTTTAAAAGCCTTATGAGTGTGTAATAAAAAACATTTATTATAGTGGAACATAAACTCAGTGGTGGTCCGTCGAAGACCATACTAAGCAAATGATATTTGTGGATACCGGACTGTGCTTGCCGATCTTGATCAGTCGGATGGAAAACCCAAGGTACCTGAGCATAAAAAATAAACCGAGAAGGGTTTTTGGGTTAGCCCTTGATGAGGTCGGAACTTATGCCTAGATGAATGACCGAAGGATTGTGTGACCCTTGTGTGTGATGGTAGGCCTATAGAGACAGGTGTCAAAACCTCATCATTGTTCTATCACACGGCATGTATATAGACAGATCGTTCGGGAAAACTAGATATCCACCTTTCGGTGAAGCGTATGCATGTGCGAGAGATGCCCCTAGGCGCCATAGAGATGTGGTCGCATCAAGTCGTGGTGACCTTGACTTCTCTCTAGGGGAGGACCTGTAATCCACAGACTAGGATTGCAACTCCTTGGCTCATCGACCAGACTTTGGTGACCTGCTAATGAGCCCCTACTTGGACTATGGGTCATGAAAAATATTAGGTCGATTCGATAAAGAAAGTGTGGTCTGTAGTCCACAGTTGAAGGTGAAATACCTCGTGATCGTTGATTGAATTTCTGAACCAGATCCATTTCCCATCATATTAATTTAATTGTGTTCGTTTTATTATTCAATTATTTTAGATTTATTATTTGAATTTTTATAAGTCATTTGATATTTTATTTCTTATTTTTGGACTTATAAAAATGAAGTTATTAATTTACAAAGTTATAATGTTTTAAAATTCATTTTATTTAAATTTAAAATATTTATTAAAAAAATACATGAGAGCCCATAGTGCACATGGGCCCATCATGTGGGTATTAGGTGGGGCCCCACATACTATACATGGGTGGCACGCCCCACCCTTGGATATATTCTCTTGTTGCTTTGTCTTCAAGTTTTTTAAATATGGTAACTATATCTTGTAGCATATGGCCAAATATTGATTAGGAAATATTGACCATATAATATGTTGAAGGAATATCTTGACTTGATATTATTAAAATATTCTTATGGAAAATATGAGATGGAATATGCAATTTATAGTATGCACTATATCTTTAATGGATTTAATTTATTTAAATATATTGCTGGGAAAATGGTTTAAGGAAAGGGGGATAATGATTCATGCAACTTCCATAATATTGATGGCCCATCTACGAAATGAATGGCTCAGATCTCTCACCCCACACGTCACCTTGATCAATGGTCCATATTCATTCTCAAGAAAGAGGCAAACTATGGGAAACCCTAAAGAAACCCTAGACCTAAATTTACTATAAATAGAGGTGCTCTCTCCCCACTCTCTACACACCTCTCTCTCTCCCATAAACTCTCTCTCTCTTCCCTAAGGGGCCACGCCTCTCTCTCTCTACTCTCTAATTTTTCTCTCTACTCTCTCTCTCTTAAAAAGACCTTAGGGGGCACACCCCAACATAGAGACTCTCTCTCTCATGATCTAGTCTAAGGGTTGGGAAAATTAGGGTTTGAGCCTAATTATTTTGGAGTTAGGGTTTGTGGAGATTTAAATGTGGTTACTTAGTGTGGCCGAAATTTGCTTTCTCGGTTTGAGATTGAAGCTAGACCGTTGATCCCGCGTCATTGGATGTGGTGACTTGGTGTGGGGTGTAAAAAGCCTGATTGAGGTAATCTCCGGCATGTTTTCTTTTAATTGTTTGTTCTTTTATTTTATATTCTCAAGCACAATATTAGGTTTTATGAATAACATCAAGTAGTTGAAATTTATTTGATTAATGTGTCATTTATTTTTGGAATTTCTATTGTTTGTAATAAGACCATCTGTGAGTAATCTTGTTGTCAAAATTATAAAGGGTGATTATTATTAAAATAAAATAAAATTTGTATTTTCCGGCAAAAGATTATATAGGTCTTTCTTTCAATACCAACCCTTCATATCCAATCGAGTGGGGACTCTGTTTTGTAGAGAAGGCTAGCAAGTGACCCATTGCTCATGAACTCATAAACCAAGAGCCTGTGAGAGCCTTCGTCGCAGTAACCGAATAAACGAACAAGGTTTTTATGATGGGTTTTTCCAATCACATTCATCTCTGTTTGGAACGCTCTTTCTCCCTCTTCAATCACCTTCTCAAGCTTTTTGACAGCAACTTTTGTGTTGCAAGGGAGAGAGAGTAAGTACACAGACCACGCTTTTGATTGAACCTTTGAGTTGCTTTCTCTAACTCTGAATAGCTAAATGACTTAAGGTTCACCTCATCTGGGGAATTTTTAACCTGTTTCATGAGCTTCTGGTAGTGCTTTCCAACATGTGAATTATAGTAAAGAAAGCTCGACATCAATACAAGAATTATGGAGAATGCATTAGGATCAGCCCAATAATTAGTAGAATATTTCGATCCTCACCTTCTTTTCTGGCATTGATTCCTGCTGAAGAATTTTGTCCTGCTGTTTTGATGAAAGCTTTCACTGAACTTCCAGTTATCCTCTTCATATACCTTAAAGGCAGAGGCTGTTTCTTGCATTGATTGTTTTCAAACAGAATGGCCATGCAAGCCCGATCATCCAAGCAAGCTTGCTCGCATTCTTCTTCACTTGCTGATAAGATATCGACAGCATTATCTGCCCAATTTATATTCTTCCTTGGAAACATCATACAGCTCTGAATTCCTTCTTTAACTCTGCAATCATCCTCTCCAGTGAAGTTCCTTTGACAACCCTGAGAATTCCCATTTGGGTCGATAAGTACGAAACCAGGGGGACATAAGCAGGTTGGTGTAACATCCATTAAGAGTCCCACGCAGCCCATAAACATCACATGGCTCATTCGGAGCAGACCATACAATGGAGCTGCCATTTCCCTCCAAATTTTGCAAAAACAGTTGGAAATTACCACCTGGTTCAAGCCTTGCTCTATAATTAGAACTTCGATCTTGTGAATTAGTGATATTCTTTATGTTGGAACCATTTGAATCAAGCAGATACAGATGGGCATCTTGGGCTAAATTCAGAGTCGCACCAATCCCTTTTCCATATGTTTCCATAGACCAGTATGCTTCGGCTAGTGTGGGGATCGTCTTTGCTCCATCCGCAAGATAGTAAAGAACAAGATTTCCATCAATTTGCATTATCAGCTGGTATTTTCCGGTTGAGTGATTGGTTTCTGATACACTAGAGCTGAGTATGGTACTCAGTGTCTGTCCTGATAAAATGGTGTCCGTTGGGGAATCGAAGATTTCCCATATTACCCGAGAAGCAGAATTGTATAAAACGAAGTTACCTTCATCGAGCATGGAAGCCGAAAAGGCCGGTACTGAGTTAAGGAGTATGGGTTCTAATTGGGCTTGACTGTCATTTAGGATGTGTCCACCATTCATGGATAGAGTGATAAAAGAACCAACTGAAAAGGGAGGACCATCTCTGTTTGCACACCAAACCAGGACTTTTTCCGGTGTTTTCGGCATCCAAATTCCTACTAAGAATTGTTGGGGGTCTTTGAGAGGATAGAAACCGAAGGCAAAGTTACCCGAAGGTGAGAGCCAGTAACTGAGGCCTCTACTATTTGGGGTAGCAGAGAGAGAAGAACCCAAGCTTATGTTTTGTGATTGGGCTGAGGAGAAAGAAATTATGACTGAGAAAAGCAGCAGCATCAGAAAGGATTCCATTGATGGAGTAGAAATGCAGCCAAGAAAGTTGTTTCTTACGTAATGCTTGATCATGGAGAAATCTGTGAGGGAGTAAATCTATGTAAATAGTACACTAGACTAACTGGTGATCTGCCAAAAATGTGTAGAAAAATGGGTCTTTGCCGTTTGGAGCCAGTAGTCAACACGTCAAGCCCTACCGTGTGGAATTGGTTTAGCAAGGAGAGATGCGGGTCTATTCTGAATGGATAAATCCACTAGTACACGTTCTAGGGTGGCAACGGGTCAGGTCGGGTCCAGGTCTAGCCGGACACGGACCTGGACTCCAAAATAATTATGAGACCCAGATCCGACTAGAATCGGACCCAAACCGAGCCTCGAAAATATAATGTGGGACCTGGACCTAGATCCGGACCCGACCTAAAAATCAAAATATCTATATATTCAAAAATATTTAAAAATATTTCATGAATTTGTTAAATATTTACATGTATTAAATAAATATAACTATATTTAAATATCAAGAATATTCGGTTTGGGTTTGGGTCTGGGTCGGGGTCGGGTCTGAATGGACCTGGACATACTTGGTCCTGGACCTGAATAGTGTTTGGGTCCAAGATTTGGACCTGGACCTGACCATTAGGGTCCAATTTTTAGACCCATACTTGGACCCAAGTCGGATCTACCCGTTAGGTACAGGGTTAGCGTAGAAACGAAAGCAATCCACGAAAATAAGAAACAAGAAACAAACATAAAAGAAAGAGACAACCAACCACAATACATAGACATATGTGATTCGACAACGTCCACGGGAGATGAGAGCTTCCTTACTGGCAATGGAGAATAGAGTTACGATAGTTATCTTCCTCACGCCTCTCTGTTCTCTCTGATTCCAAAGAAAACTGCGTTTTTCCCTTAACTTTTTTAATGAACCCCCCATCGCAACAATATATATTGAATCCTAACAATGTATATCGAGCCGCAACAATATATATCGAGTCTCAGATAAATGGCATAAGTTACCGAAATACCCCAAGTACAGATATATATCGAATCCCAAATATATCGAATTCCATGTACGGATATCCGAAATTTTCCTCAAGGGCTACTGCTCCCTAACCCCCGCAGGGGCCAAGTCAACCGAGTTTACCTACGCCGGACACTCCTCCGGCCCTCAAGCCCTTCAGGCCTTCGGCCTTCCGTTGTCCTTTTGACTCTATCTTGACAAATCTATTTCCTCAGTATACAAGACATCAATCCTCAACAATCGGGTCTTGATCCATTGCCACCAATATCACATTTTGTTCTTTCACTTTTCAGATTGAGAAATTTGTCGAAATACATCCAATTTTCCATAATATAGCGATTTATCCTTTTCAAACTATTCTAAGGCACATTCATGAGTATTTTGATAGGTATTTTGGAATTAAATAAAAAAATATGAGTAAAATGTCAAATTGTTGATTTTTTATGTATATTTTGTTAAATTTTCCTTTTAGTTTTTGTTGTGGTTTGTGCAAAGTTGCAACCTTACTTGTTGAAGTACTAAAAAAAAACAATATAGAGTTAACTTTTGGATTTGGAAAGCACAACATATATTTGTAGTGTATCGTACATGGTTCATTTACCATGAGACATCCACCTTTTGTTTTGGAAATTTGGAGCAATGATCTAATGCAACAGTTGTATCATAGTATAATGCAACGACACTTCTAGAAAACCATGTTTGTGGTTTTTGTACGACCCCAAATTTTACACACACACTCTCTTCATCTCAATAATCAATCCCCAAAAAACAAAAGTTCAATTTGAATTAGTCCCCTCCAAAAACAAATCTAGACCATTCATTTTGTGAATTTCAAGATCTTAGCCTTTATAAACTCAAAATCATTTTTTCCTTTTTTAACATTATTCATCTAATGATAATAATGCCATCCAAAAAATTGAAAATGAAAATGAAAAAATCCTTCTAAGGCTAGGTCTAAGCATCTCACCAAAATGAACGGCCTATGTTAATTGGGCTAAAAAAATACTTGTAGGATGTGTTTTCAAATTTTTCTTTTTTGTAATTTTTCATTAGAATAAAAAGAGCGTATATTTCAAAATTTGGATTAAAAAAATAGCCATAAGATAGTTTTTTAAGGTTATTGCATCATAACGGTTGCATGAAATCATTGCTCGGAAAATTGATGGTTGAGATTAATCGCAGGCCCAAGTACTATTGATTTTTATTAGTGTTTACTGGGGATGTACGGTGGATGTTTCTCAGGTTAACTTTAAAACATGTTTTCCTTGGTCTGTGTTGTTGGGTATTGCGCAAAAGATATCATTTTTAGTAAAAACTAACTTTTTTGAAAGAAAAATAGTGGTTGAAGTTCATACTTCAGATGGGTTTAAGAAATTTCGCTCATGAGTGTCATTTTCAGAATGGAAAAGTATATTTTCCACTACGTGTGCATGGTAGGGCTAGCAATGAGCCTGGCAGGCCTCTTTGGTCCGGTTTGTGCCACATTAGGCTGAGGCTAGCCCTATATGGACCAGGGCCAGGTTAGCCTAGCCCAGGCCACACCTATTACCAGCCATAGTGCACAGTATATACCACATGATTGAGGCATCCTTCGTCCATCTATCATCACGGATGGTGGAGATGAATGCAGCTGGGTGAATACCATTCATAGGGAACTAATCCGAATCTCGATGATCAATGTCCGTCGTATACTTTCACTATAACACAAAAACTCAAGCACAACAACAATAATTATCTCAAATTTTATGGTGCTCAATACATTGAGGTTGTAAGCTGAATGGCTTCCTATGGCCCAAGTATGTTCCTAACATTTCCCGGCAATCTCAAGAGAAATAATAATTTTTGGTACAATTAGTGAAAATAAGTGGTTGGGGTGTGTTACTGACTATGCACAAAATTCAAAATAAAATTTTTCAAGTGTTACGACACTTCAATATGTTAGATTTCACATCTAATAGAGAATAATTATGATCTCTTTGTATCAAAAGTGAATATATTTTATGATTTTGATTACTTTTTTCACTACATCCAATGTATTGACCAAAATTTTAGTTGAACACTTTCCTGACTTGGTGGTCTAGTTCAAATGATACTGATATATATATTTAAGCTTAGCATAGCCTCATTTTATGTGACATGGGCATTTGTGTATGTGATTTTTGCATGCCTCGGTGCAATGACAATGCACTCATTTATGCTAAAAACTAGTGAATCACATTTTAAAACGTTACTTCACCGTTCTTTAATGATGTCGGACGTGTTGTGCCTAAAAAGCAAATTTAAAATTAGGTTTGCAATGCTAATATCCCTCCCTAATGCCAAGGCAGGTGGCTTTCGTTCCACAAGGTGGAAATCTTTCTTTTTTCATGCCAAGTTGCAAGAAGTCCATGTTAACGGTCTACGCTTTGCTTTTCAGGATATGATTATGTGGTACCGCAGGAGCAAACTGGATTTTTACTCGCTAAGGAACAACCCAAAGCAACGGGTTTTAGGACCACATATTTTGGGATTTAAAAACCTGCTAAAGCTACCCACTAACCAGGAAAATAAAACCAAAATTTGATACACCTTTTAAAAGTGATTGATGAGAATTAACTTCCAAGGAATGCAAAAAGTCGAATTCAATGATCTAATCTACGTTCTTCTAAATTCAAAATATTGGAAATATATCTAGTGTTTTTATAGAGGATTCCCAAAAAAAAAAAAAAAAAAAAAAAAAGGAAAAAAACATCTGGAGTCTTTTGGCGAACGCAGATAATAATGTTGAATTTGAACTCTTGGAAGAATTATGCACGTCTTCTTCTTTCTTAATCCCAATTCAAACGCTCAAGAAAATCTCCTCGATAGAAGAGAACGTGCTCTAGGCACAAGAATAAGTTCCTAGAGTCACGGGTGTCATAATGTAATATTTAGGGTATGTTTGATAACTGGAAGATAAATGTTCATTGATAATTGGAAGTTCTTTTTTGCTGAGAAGAAAGAAGTTACTGCAATAAGTTATAGGTTTCTGTGTTTGATATTAAAGAAGTTCTAAAGACGTGTTTGATAACCTGCTGGATGATTAGGAAGTTCTGAATATATATATTTGATTAGCTGTTGGAGTTTAGAAGAAGTTATAGATAAGATATGAAATCTTAAGGTTGAGATCCTAAACAATTAGCATAAAGAGGCAATAACATATGATTCATATGAAGGGAATTAATTTAGTAACTAGCAAAAGAGCCACAAAATTTCAACAAATCAATTTCCAACGAAGCAACTCCTAATCGTTCGACACATCCCTTAAAGTAATGACACTAATAAGTTGAAATTTTATTATCAGCGTTCTCATTTACATTAAGAATGAATAAGTTGTGGTCATCAACCAAGTGTCCCCAAGCATAAATTTGTCCATGCTTTCCGATTGATACTTTCAATGATCAGAAGCGAACTTCAAAACGCTTTCTTATGAGTAAGGGGACAGTTACAATATTTCGTCTCATACAAGGGACAAAATATATATCAGTTAATACAATGTCGATTGTCCTTACATACAAATTACAAGTTCCTACACCTAATACATCAGAATATGTATTGTTTCTCATGTAGATGTGTTTCTCCCCAGCTTTTATTTCTTTGAAGTCCTCGAAGAGGCCTTTTGAGTTTGCGATATGCCGATTAGTGCCTGAGTCTACCCACCATATTTTGATGTCGTGGTCCGCCAGCAGGTACTCAAAAACCACGCAAACAACTTCACGCATCTTGCTTCTATTCCCGTTATTCTTTAGATTTTGTGGGTTTTTATTTTGTGGATAGTAGTTTTTGAAGTGACCTAACTGACCCAATAAGAAACATTTTGACGGTCCTTGTTTAGTTTCTTGGTTGTAGGACTTAGCTCTTCTCTTTTTGAACCTATTTGTTCTTTTTATTAAACTTCCCTTGAAATTTTTGGTTGTTAGGCTTGGGTTGGCTAGATTTGGGAGGTCCTTGAGCAATCATGAGCTCACTTCTGTTA